TCTTTCCTCCCTATGCAGGGGGTCGGACTCGATGATCTATTGAGGTCCCTTCCGACCCTATGAATCTATGGTATCTAACTTAGATTTCCCTTGCTGCCAGTTACGACCATTTCTCCTTGTCCTGTCCCCTGTAACTATAGAATAATGGTTCTCAACCTCATTAAACTCAAGGCACCCCTCAGAAAAATGCCATCTTTTTGTTTTCCTTTGTTTTTTTTACTGTAGAAAAATAATAGAGCAGTATATCTGTTGTAGAGAACCCAGAAAGATTGCAACAAGTCGCAATGTTTTTAATAGTATGGGGTCCTATTTGAAATCTCTGGGTTTATCTTGTGCCTCGTTTTTGCACACTTAACAGTACTAACATTGCATGGCACTCCATGGCACCATTGAAGGGATCCCAGGACACCCCAGGATGCTGTGATACCCTGGGTGATAATCACGGTCATAGAGAATTGTCTATTTCCATCCTACATATGAGTACCCTTCTGGTTATTGGAAGACGGTTGACAAATCCCCTTTCAGTCTCTTCTTTTCCAAATTAAGTAATCCTAGTTCTTGCATTCTATCCTCTTTTCCAAATGACCTGGAAAGTTTAAATTTATCTCATTTCCAACCAAATTTCTTTTGGGTAGGTTTGGTAACAGTTAAGAATTAGGAAAGTAATTATAAAATAATTGTTCAGTGTATTAGAAAACAATAATCTTTTTGGAAAGAAACACTTTGAAGCCACCTTTCTTTGTCTGAATGCTTTTGAAAGACATACTTAAAGAACTTCTTTGAACATAATACAACTTAAATGTGATTTTTATGAAGTCTCAGAACACGCAAAATAAAATAACTTTTTTGAGAGCACATGCTTACTGATAAAACTAACATATGGCAATCTGAAAGAGTGCTCACATTTTAATTTTGGTGAATTTATAGTAATTTGACTATAAGATTTACTGCTATTGATAGCAAATGTTTCTTTTATTGCATTGCAAGTGGCAAAAATACTAGTAAACATCACTTTTTGAAGAAGAAAAGTCTTAACGTAAAACAATTACTTTTGAGCTTCGAGGCTTGAAGCTTTTCGAAATTTATTTCTCTTTTTTCACTTTCAGAGCTGTACAGACATTAACTAATCCCTCATGATAACCCTATTAAATTACATTATAGCTTCTTTTAAACTCTCCTTTTTATTGCTGCTTGTAGTGAAGAGAAAAAGGGGAAGACCAAAAGGGTCAACTAAAAAGTACTGTGCAGATGAAGAACTGGCAGAAAACAATAATATTCCAAGTGAGGAAGCTCAACCAGGGCCAGAGGAAGGAACAGAGCTGGCTGAAGTTTTGCCGGGCAGTCTGGAATGCAAGAAATGCAACCGGAAGTTCTCCAATACACGTCAACTGAGAAAACACATCTGCATCATTGTTTTAAATGAAGGCGAGGATGAAGGGGACCCAGGTAAGAAAATGTCTAACCAATGTATTCTGTGTACATTCTTTTTTCCATTTTGACTAAAACCATGCATTGTTTCTCTGTGGAATTCTTTCATTTTTGAATATGACCATGTATCATTTCTAAGTGGCATACTATTTCTAAATGTTGTTGTTTACTTAAGCATACATTTACTTAAAATAACAGCTTGATAATCCTTTCAATTTACTTTACACTTATTGGGTTACCTACTGGTGCTGATAAAATCAGGAATTCCCAAACTGGTCTGTGGACCTCTTGAGGAGGAGGTACTTGGAAAGCTGACTTTTCATGTTGACGTTGGCTTTTCTTATTTTCAGCAAAAAGAAGGAGACAGAAGATAGGAAAGAGAAATTGTAAGCAAAAGATTTTGAAGAATTAACTTTAGAAAGACTTAATATACCATAGGCATTTTAAATCCACTTGACTATCACTCTTTTACAGACAAAATTGCTGCAAGGATAATTGATTAGACTATTGCAAATGGAAAAGGTGGTAAACTGTACAGTTGTAAACTTGAAGAAAATGTGAGCTTTCTGTAAATGATGACCCAATCAGGAAACCATTTGAGAACTTCTGGTCTAAAGTTAATCAGGTTGTTATACAAGTATCTGATCTGGGTTGTTCTCAAGTCTTTATTTGGCTCTAAACACCTACAGAGAGGAAGGATGGCCCCGTAGTTAAGGTGCTGACCTGGGGCGTAGGAGTTCCGGGTGCACAAACTGCAAATGTGTTGCAACTCATTTATTCTCCTGATGCGTCTTGCCTGAAATGGGGATGACAGAACTTTTGTGCTATGGCTTTTGAAGGATGAATACGTTGAATATTGTTTATTTTTTTCATGGACCACAATAGCTGAGGCTGTAGAAATACCTAAAATGTATAGATACTTAAAACTGATTTGTGCTACTTGTGTTTGCCAATGCCTTTTTCTTAAGGGATACCTTAAAATATCTCCATATGGTTTCCAGAATAACTCTGTATTTTTATTTAAGTACTACCTCTAGAACTGGTTCACTTGGGTGTTGTTGAGTACAGGATTTACGGTGCTGCACAGAATGCCAAATTTGGCACTTTCGCTTTACAATGGTCCATGTGGAAAACTTCTCGTGCTCAGAATTTTTCTTTAAGAGTCGGTTTGTATGGATTCAGAATCCCAACAGAACGAAGTCCGAAGTATTAAGTTTCACTTGGTTTTGCACAAAGAGGGTAAATTTCATTCAGGTACAATGCTGAGCCTTATTGGCTCAGGTTTGCATGTTTGATCTGAGTTTTGAACTGGTAAGGGAAAAAAAATCATACTGAATTTTAAGTTTTGTTACAACCATTTTGCATGGTTCAGAGTTTGCTTTGACTTTTATGTCCTTTTAATTCTGTTAAGCAATAAAATGTTCCATGTGGTTTTCCAGTGGAGCATGTGTTCTCTGTCCATCCTCACACTGTCATCCAAAACGCCAAATAAGAATTAGACAGCCAAACAAGAATGCGTCTGTTGGATTTACTTGACTGAGAAAGATTAGGGGAAAAAAAGCTTAAATGTGCTCACAGGACATGAAAGCTGTCACTTGATAAATCATTTTATTTTTGTATCTTAAATAGTGGTAGGATCTTTAAAATGTATATTAGTGACCTCCTGTCCAATTGGTTTAATCTGTGACATTAGATGCGTTAAGGCTCTTTGTTTTTTGTATGTGCTAGGTACAGTAATAACACTTCTGATATGCCAGCAAAATTGTCTTTAGTCAGGGGCTTTTTAAAATACAGCCACAGAGATCAGATGGACAGTCCAAATTAACTGCCTTTGACCTTCTACCTCATTAGAGCCACTAAAACATAGCTGGAGTCTAGCACATTGGTAGGCTTTTCAAAGTAAAATAGCATAGCTTTTTCCTTGTAAAAGAAATGAACTTGTTTTATTTTCAGGTACATGTTTAAATTTATATTAAAATTTTATTTGTCTTCTTTTATCTTATTTTGTGCTCAAAAGAAATAGTTTTTAGGTACTTCATAATGAGGGCTACGTCATTTTGGCATCTAACATGATTTGGGTCCGTCTAGCCCCAAAACAGTTCTCTGGCGACTATCCTGTGGAGGCTTTTTGAACCTCCAAGTAGTTTACCACATTCTTGGCTTCTCCCTATTTTAAAGGAATAACTCGTCCTTGGAAACACCTAGTTAACTCTGAGACGAGCCTCTTGTAGATACTGCAGCTATCTTCTCAAGAGCAGAGTCTGATCTCCCTGTGTCAGATTGCTCCATGAATTGCCTCACAAGTGTACTCCAACATCTGGATGTGCAAAAAGTGCATACTTTTGAAGTAAGTGAACCAAAACTGGACACAGTACTCCAGGTGTGGCCTCCTCACCAGCTGTGAACAGAGTGGGAGGATCACTTCTCTTGATCTGCAAATGATGCTACTATTAATACAGCTCAGTATGCTGCTGACCTTTTGGGGGGTTTTTGTTTTTGTTTTTTACAGGCGCACACTGTTAGCTCACATTCAGCTTATAGGATCATAGAAAAGTAGGTCTTGAAAGGACCACATGAGGTCATCTAGCCCAGCCACCTGCTCAAGGCAGGATCATCCCTGACTAAACCATCCCGGCCAAATGTCTGTCTAACCTGCTTTTGAAAAATTTCCAGGGATGAAGATATCATTGTTACTCTTCATAGTCTGTTCCAAAGCTTGACCATCCTCATGGTCAGAAAGTTCCTTCTAAAGTCCAACCTAAATTTCCCCTGCTGCAGCTTGAGGCCATTATTCTTAATCATATTCTTTATAGCCATAGAGAGCACATCTACACATGCGCTTTAATGCTCTGTAGCCTATTTTATTGCGCATTAAAGTTTCATGTAAAAATGTGCTATTATGCTAATGCTCAGTAAAATAGGCTACTGCTCATTAAGTATCACTTTAAAAATGTGTGCTTTCAATACTGTGCATTAGGGCAGCCTAATGTGCATTTATTTAGTACCTGACACTGGAGGTACTAAATTTAATACACATTAGGAAAAGCGCATTAATGTACATGTAGACATGCCCAGAGAAAAGCCAATTTCCATCTCCTGTAATTGCCTTTCAGGTACTTGAAGACTGGTATCCAATCCCCCCCTACCGTCTTCTTTTTCTCTGGACTCAATAAACTTAGTTCTTTCAGTCTTTCCTTTATAAGTCATTTTTTCCAGGCCTCTAATCATTTTTGTTGTTCCCTCTTGAACTCTTTCCAATCTGTTCACTTTCTTCTTGAAGTGAAGGGCCCAAAACTGGACACAGTAGTCCAGGGAAGGGCTCAACCAGTGCTGAATAGAGTGGAAGAATCGCCTCCCTGGGTTTGCAAGAGAGTTACAAATGCTGCTAGCTTGTGTTTTTGTGTGGTGTGTTTTTTTGGTTTTGTTTTTTTCTGCATAACAGGAGTACATTATTGGCTCATTCAGTTTGGGATCCACTGTAACCCCTAGGTCCTTCTCTGGAGTACTGCATCCCATCCAGTCAGTCCTCAGTCTGTGTTTGTTCATGCAGTTATTCCATTCCAAGTGCAGGAAATCACACTTCTTATTGCTTAATCTCATCTGGTTCATTGTGCATCAGGTTATTTTGGATCCTAGACCTACCCTCCAGAGTGTCTACAACTTCACTCATTTTAGTGTCATCCACAGATTTGCTCAGTGTGCACTCAATCTATCATTGTAATACTTAATGAAGATGTTAAATAATATTGGACCCAGGACAGACCCCTGGGGGACCCCACTTGACACTTCCTACCAGTTAGATATCAAGTCATTGATGACTACTTACTGAGCATGATGATCCAACCAGTTGCATATCACTTTTACAGCACTTTCTTCTAGTCTTTATTGCCTTAGCTTATCAATGAGAATGCTGTAGGAGACAGTGTTAAAAACCCTGCTAAAGTCAAGATAAAGTCAAGCTTTGCTAGAGGCAAGTCCACTATTCTGACCTGATCCACAGATTCTGCCATTTTATCATAGAAGGAAATCAAGTTGGTCAGGCACAATTTGCTCTTGATGAACTGGTAACTGTCCCTGATCACTTGTTCTTGTCTAACTGGTTTAAGATAGATTCCTTGAAGACCTACTCGATGATCTTTCCAGGTAGCTAGGTTGGACTGACTGGTCTGTAATTTCCCAGGTCCTCCCCCTTCCCTTTCTAAAAGTTGGGTACTGTATTAGCCCGTTATCAATCATCTAGGTATTCTTACCCAACCTCCACATGTCTTCAAAGAGGATTACTTATGGCTCTGAAATCACCTATCAACTTCTTCAGTATCCTAGAGTGCATCTCAAATTGTGCCTTGACCTTCCTGATTTTTCTCCTTGCAACGCCTGTGCTTTTTCTTTCCATGAATATCTCTGGATTGCATTTTTTCTTGGTTTTATTAGAGCTTTTCCAATGTGAATGATATTTAATCATATTTCTGAATCTCTCTAGGACCTTCCAGATTGCTTTTCTGCCCTGCTTGGTGTTCTCATCTCCTTCAAAGTTTATCATTGTATGGATGTCTGATTGCATTCATAAGTGAAAACATACTTGATTGTCATGTTCTCTTTTGAAACAAACACATGCCACTATGAAATTATTTCATATTCTGATATGCATGTATTAGGGTAGTGCATATGTTCAGTGTGATTTCATTTCTTCATGCAATCAGTTCACTTTTATTTGTCAGTTCAGAATATTATTTTATATTTGAAAGCCCAAAGCACCATGAATGTAAGAAAGAAAATGCTAGCAACACTAGCTGAGAACTTCTCCACACAAGCCAGGAAATTCAAAGTTATGGTTTCCACAGCAACCGTATCTCTGCCACAATGTGTCATATCTTATTAAGGCTTAAATTAAAAAGCATATTCAGTAATGTAAAAAAGCCTTATATATATTCAGGAGTGCCAAATTAGGATTGCTGTGGCAACCACATCTTTGAATTTCTTTACTTCTGTATATGGAATGGGATGACACTATTGATCTT